AGGACTCATATCTACATCGATTTTGTTGACGTTTACATTAACACATATAAACCTCTTAGAAAACTTTCACATGATTAAAACGAGAAATGTTTTTAATCTTGTTGCATCTTGCTGGCAAATTTTTTACCTTCATGTTCACGTGAATGACCTAGATTTCATCAAATGCATGGGACAACCCTTACACTAAGCATAATTTTCTAGTGCAGCGCCTTCATCACGAACGTAGTTTTCTGGTGTTTGTTTATTCTGTGATAATCAGGACCTGTTGTCGATGCAGATTATGTTGAAAAGCAACAGCGTAAGAAACTCTTTCATTCAGAGATCGAGAATCACGCGCACATGGAGTATGATCAACAATCCAGCGATGGTTGATTCAAACACTAAGTCGAGGACAATATAAATCTAGGTCCATTCTAGACCATCATCACCAAAGCATCTCTCCTAGAACTCCCTTGCATTCATCCTTTTGCTCAATCTCTAGCTCCTACGCTCTCCAGCCCCGTCATTGGCACCGTCCAAGTTGTGGGAAACACCTCGGGTGGCACCGACTATCAGCTTGAAGCCTGGACTAGCGGGAAGGTCATCCGCCAGATCCAAGTGTGGGACGACGGTAACAAAACCAAAGCTGTCAAGTTGTGGGAGACGGGTGAGACGGACAATGAAGGCCACCTCTACGGCAGCCCCGCTGGAAGCTCGTACACCTACACTTTCCAGCCCGGGGAGCTCATCACGTCCATGTCCCTCTGGCTTGGCGAATGGGATTACGTTGGTAAGCTTGCTCTATCACTTCTTCTTGGTATGCATTATACCTTGGCTCGTGCTTTTGGACGACCAGGTGATCGCGCCGGTGCTATCATGTTTACCACAAGCCTCGGCAATACTTTCCAGCATGGCTACCAAGGTGGAAGCGCGACGGTAATCAATGTCTACGCCGGGATCCTGGTGGGAGCCGACATCCATGCCGGTGACGACGTAAACGCATGGGGCTTTGCGTTTCTCCTGCCGCTGGTCTCTTGCCAGCTCCAAGGCGTACGCTACTACAACATCTCTGCGCTGGGAAGCATCGTTCCAGAGACACTGGACACCCTGAAATGCAGCAACAACAGTGAAGTTCCTGTTCAGTGGAAGCTCGATGGAAGCAAAGATATGACCATCTCCTACTCGTGGTCTCAGGCCGAAGGCCTCACCACTTCCCAGACCGTCACTGTGAATGCCAGCATCCTCGACATTTTCAAGACCGAGAGCTCTTATCAGTGGCAAGAGAGCGAGCAGTCCACCAACACGGTTGAGTATTCCGGCACCAAAAACCTCGAGTGGTCCGAGGGAAATACGCTGGCACCGGGGGCGTCAGTTAACATCCAGGCAGTAACTTACGCTGGTAAGATCAACGTGCCATACTCGGGTGTCATGGTTGTCAAGCTTGACACAGGCGAAAGCTTTAGTTTCCCCCAGACTGGTACTTACACTGGTGTTTCGGTCACTGAGACTGACGTTACAAGCGGATGATTCAGATAATAGCAATATTGTAATGAAAGAAGCTCCAGTCTTGCTTTTGAAAGTGTTTGTGGAATGTTTTCCAGCAAGATAGAATTCTCTGGAAAGGCAGAAGCAATCAGAGACGAACTTATGTGGAAGCGAAAAACAGGATTCCTGCTCTCCAGCAACTTGATTTGGTGTATTAAGGCACAGGAGCAATTAAAAGAAGCAAATGTATGATACTAAGCTTGGAATCGATTCAATGATTGTTCCAGGCAGACCAGAAATCAAAAGAAAATCAACTAGAACCTTGCGAGCCTGTGCTTATTGCAAATAAAACTCCGATGATACTTTGGTATTTGGCTCTCCACCATAGCTGCACATAACTTTCGGCTCCTTAGCGTGAAGACTGTGACAATTAAAAACACACTTTGATCGATCAAAAGCTGAATCATCACCACAACCAACGCTAAGATCACCAACTAGAAAACACGTACACAAAAGAACGTAAGAAACCAGACCTCAGAGGACGGATTGAAGAAAAATACACTTACACGATTGGTGATTTCCCATCTCTATCCCGAGTTTCCGGCTGCAAAACAAGAGCAGAAAGTCAAGGAAGAGAGAAGAGCGCGAAACAGTAAAGTGGTACGTCTTGAGCATCCAAAGCTTCCAGGTCCAGAAATACAAGTGCTACAACACGAAAAGGTTCCATCAAGATTTCCGGGACCACAGGTCTTATCTCAACAAACAGTATGAAATTTGTGAAACAACTCAAAAGGAAAAAAAAGTAAAGAGCTTACACAAATTTCTTTCCTGTTTTGATTTTTCTAACGAGCTCTGCCGTCTGTCACGAAAGATACAAACGCAGTGTGAGTTCAGCCGTGGCTCTTACGATGGTTTTACCTTTTATTCTTCGAGATGTGAACTTGTCAGCTAGTTCTCGGGAATACTTTTCCTCGGGAGAATAAGTCGAGGTGGCGCTAGCGTTAGAGCTCAAAAGCGAAGTCCCAAAACCGAGAAAAGCAAGGGATAAAACGGGCAGCAAGACAAGAAGAAAAAGAAGAAAGAGCTTAAAAACCACAGGCAGGCCAACAGGACATAAATCGCCTTGACAAGCGTACTACGAATGAAGAAGCGCTCTCTCAAGTGCACGAGAAAAGAAAAAACAAGCCACACTATCGGCCAGTCCAGATTAAACATTCGACCAACAATGTGATGCGCAAGAGTTAATCCACGTGGCAGCTCAAGAACCCTAAATTTTTTAAATTTTTTAAATTTTAGCTTTCTCGGTCGCGATCGTCTTGTTTGATAGCGCGCTGGGCCGCTCTAATGCTGCCGAGTTAGGTGTAGATCTTTGCAGAGGAAAAGGACCGGGCGTGAGCTTTTGACCACTGTGCTTGCTTGTCACGTTGGGGAGGACGAGAAGAAGAAGAATGGCGCAGATTCTGAGGTAAAGTCCGGGCCTGCTTGATGGTGTCAAAGTCGGGCTTTTTTTTGTTTGCGTCTGTCAATGCCAATGCTCTTCCTTCCTTGCTTCTTCTCATTCTCTTTTAGTAAGAAGAGAAACAGGCCCGGGTGGGACTTGTTTAACGGAATTGAGGGTGATGATGATTCAAGCATGACTGTGGCTTCCTGACAGAATGTGACGATCCATTTCCTCTGTTTTCCTTTTTTCCTTTTTCTTTCTTCTTTAAAAGAGCGAGTTTTTTTCCTTGGAGTGAAGTTGAAGCAAAGCGATGGACAACCAAGATGGAACGTGGCACTTGACACACACACACACACACACACACACACAGAGGTACGAGAAAATGAGATTTTGGTCCATGTAACAATCATGGAACCTTTCCCCGTTTTGTCTGTTGTTCTTCTGCCATTTTGTTTGTTTTCACCCTCGCTCTCACAGCGTTTGTTTCTTTGCATTGGTTCCGCAGGCTGGGAGTTTCATTGGGGAGTTATCCGATCGGAGCCAATCCACTGGAGAAAATGGCTATAGTGAGCGATGTGGGGCTGCAGGTAGGCATGTATTTTCATAGAGCAGCAAGCGTCCACAAGGGCCTTGTCTTTCAGTAGCATGTTACTATCCTTGATTGCAAGTCGGGCTTGACGTCTAGCGCACCGCCAATCTGTGCCAAGGGGACTAGAAACAAAACAACAGCTCCTTCGTGGCGAGCTCGAGAGCCGGGAAAGGTCGCCCCGGCAAAAAGAAAATTTACCAAGGGACACCTACAGCGACAGACAACGCTTTAGTTTACGGTAAACCATATCAGACCATGATATGCGCTTGGCTGGGCTCTTCGCTAATCCGAAAGGTTAGCAAAGACTTTTTACTCTACGCGCTTAAACAAGGTCTCTCCTTTTGCAGGCGCCATTACAATTTACCCACACCGTGGCAAGGAGTTGGATAAAACAAGTGGAGTTGCAGGCAGGCAGGCAGGCAGGCCGGGATGGATTATTAAGTCGGCAGCAGCGCGCGGTCGTCATGGCTTTTTCCGGCATTTGTTTTTGAGGTGGTGGCCGTCATAACAAGCAAGCCTCGTCGACGCCTGGCTAGTTGGTACTGGGGTCCAAGCCCAAAGCTATCGGGTCAAAAGCGCTTCCTTCGGCACAGCAAAGTAGAGAGGTGTAGGTGGCTCACAGCTGGGCAGCTTAGAATTTGGCCGGGTTCCAACGATCCAATCCACAACGATCTTTGGATGGAGGGCACGGGTTTTGACTTGGCTTACACGCCTTGGAAAAACAAAGGACGTGGTGACAAGAGCAGCAGGCAGAGTGATTCGGCGGGACTGGCAGTATCTGGAGAGACTAAAAAAGACTTAACAAAGTGGTGTTAGCATAGCGGCAACAACAACAAACACGACGGCTACTATTTTGGAGCCCGGGGGGCCGTCGGGTACGTACGCAGGAGGCGCAAAAAAAAAAAAAAGGCTTTTTCTCCACTAGATTCTGGACCAGATCCAATGCAGGCCTTGTTGCTGCCCCGCGCTCGCAGCGTCCGGTTGAGATAAAAGACGGGGATGGGCGCGGCAGCAGGCTGGACTCTCCATGCTCCGCAATGCTGCCAAGTGAAGCTCCAGAGGGAGAGGGGGGCTTAAAGGGACGGGAGGAGGCTTCCTTTCCGCCCGATACGGACAAGAAAGGCCAGCACAGGGCCAATGGCGGCATGTTTGTCGTTGGCGTGGGTTCCACTCTTGAAGGTCCCTTTTGGTTTGCTCAGCGTTTGTTGCGCGCTTCAAGGGTGGCCACAGGCGGTAGTAGTAGTAGCAGCAGCAGCCACAGCGGCAGCAGCAGGAAGAGGCGCTGCTTCCAGCGCTTGGTAGCGTTTCTCTCTCTGCAGATAAGCACGGACAGGGATAGACGGCATTGAAAGCTAGCTCAGGAGACGACGTGTGTACTTCGGCAGCAGGGAAGGTGGGGGACGGAACGATGATGTAATGGATTGATAGCGCGGGATACGGCAGTATACGACGGATTACTAATACCCCTCCCTCCAGGAATTGGCTGCCACAACACGTTTCTTGCTCTTGGAACCAGTCTCCTTTTCGGGGAGAGAGAGAATCCGGGAAGACGGCCTAAAGTTTTGTTTTTGCGGGGATCTGACCAACGAAATTCGGCTCGGCGACGCGGGCACAGTGCGGGAGAGGAGGGCCTCCTCAGCGCCAAATCTAGTGAGTGCTCTTGACACGCCTCTGTAGGGTCTCCCCCTGCTGCTTGTGCATCTTTTCTTTCTTCTTCTTGGGCTTGTTTTCTTGCCACTCTTTGCTTGTGCTTGCTGGTCACTTCCTTTTCGATGTTGAATTTTGCGAAGCTCTAAGTGGTGGGTGGCGTTTGCAGGGATTTGTCGGCATCTATCGACTCTATCCGCGTCTTTTCTGTTTTTATTTCCCTTTCTCTTTTTTGACGTGATTCGATGAAATAGCATCGAACGCCAAGAGCTCCACAATTCCTACATTTAGAAGGCGATCCACAGAGGGCCGGAATTCCGAGCGCTCGGGCATTCATGCTGCTTCAAAGCGAGCATATGGAACCGGAGGAGGATAGCAGCGCCGAGGAATTGCAGCTCAAAGAATCCAAGGTACTCATATCGCTAGGCTACTCTCCAGACATAAAAATCCTCTTTTTCCTTTGCTCCTCGATTCTTTCTTCATTCCAGCAACCTAGAGAGCAGAGATCAGGGAGAAATAATGGCTGACCCCTTGCGTTTTTGCTCAGGAAGTTGTGCCGCTCAACACCTGGGTCCTCATCTCCAACCTCAAGCTAGCTTACAACCTCACCCGCAATTCCGACGGCTCCTTCAACCGCAACCTGGACGAATTCCTCGACCGCAAAGTCCCCGTGAGCAGCGTGGAGCGCGAAGACGACCCCGTGACTTTCATGGACGTGACCATCGACCGCACCAGCGGCATCTGGTCGCGAATTTTTATCCCCCGCGCCAGCCACAACAACAACGCAAGCTCGACGACGCACGGTACGCCAATTTTCTTCTATTTCCACGGCGGCAGCTTCGTGCACATGTCCGCTAACAGTGCAGTCTACCACACGGTATGCCAGCAGCTGGCCCGGCTGTGCCAGGCGGTAGTCATCTCGGTTAACTACCGGCGAGCTCCCGAGCACAAGTACCCGGCCGCCTACAACGACTGCTACGCAGCGCTCACCTGGCTCAAAGTCCAAGTTTTGCGCGGCGTAGCGCATGCCTGGCTTCCACGGACTGCCGATCTCGGGCGGTGCTTTTTGGTCGGGGACAGCAACGGTGGAAACATTGTCCACCATGTCGGAGTCCGAGCAGCGGAGTCGGGGGCGGAGCTCGGCCCGTTACGTGTGGCCGGACACATTCTGATTATACCAATGTTTGGTGGGAACCGGAGGACGCAGTCGGAGCTGAGATTCGACGGGCAGTACTTTGTGACGATCAAGGACAGGGATTTCTACTGGCAGTCCTTTCTTCCGGCCGGGGCGGACAGGGATCATCCGGCGTGCAACATATTCGGGCCGAGCTCGCGCAGCCTCGAGGGCGTGGTGCTGCCACCTTCGCTGGTGGCGGTGGCGGGGCTGGATATGATCAAGGACTGGCAGCTCCAGTACGTGGAGGGGATGAGAAACGCCGGCAAGGACGTGGAGCTCTTGTTCTTGGAGGAGGCGACGGTGGGATTTTTCATCTTTCCAAACACTGGACACTTTCACAGGCTGATGGACAAGATCACGGCGTTTATCGACCGCGATGGGGACCAGCATCTAACACGAAGAACAGGAATAACTCGCAGGACAACAACGTAGGATAAGACCACTCTCGGCAAGAAGGATGGCGATGGATCTCTTTCTTCCGGGCACTTTCATAGCATCAACACCAACACCAACACAAAAACACCAACAACAGCAACAGGAGGAGAAAAGGAGAGAACAGTTTGGTTTTTTCTTCTTTTTTCTTCTCGCATTTGATTGACAGACACACTTGTATTCTTTTGTGAAGAAGCGAAAGAGAGAGCTCTCTCAAGATTGTTACTTACAACGGAACGAGAGCGATAGAGTTTCCTTTAAGCATGTATAATACATACTCTCTTGTCTTTCACCATTTGTGATAAGCCGCCCTAGCTCAGCCGGTAGAGCGCGTGGCTTTTAACCACGTGGTCGTGGGTTCGATTCCCACGGGCGGCGAGAGAAGGACGAAAGTTTCGTTAAAAGCTTTGGAACTTCTTCACACCGCGTGATCTCCGGTGGCTTGTTCTTCTTTTGTTTTGGATCTAGACAAGGCCTCCCAAATCCTCGGCCACGCCCACAGCGCCGCGGCGCCGACAAGAGCGCCCACAATGTCTGCCACGGCGTCCTTGGCCGACGCCCCCGATGAATTCCAGACGTGGAGCTCGTCCAGCGCCTCCTTCGCTGCGCCCGCCGCCAGCGACGCCACGCACGCGATCCGGATCCGCCACGCCCTAAACCTGGAGCTGAATGCGAGCGCGGAGCCGAGCGCGAGGACGATCGCCATGCACACCAGCAGGTGCTGCGCCTTGTCCCGCGCGAACCAGTCGTCCGCCATGACGAGAGACGAGATTTAGGGTTCTTGGCCGCGTTAAAAGGTTAAGAAAAAAACAGGCGGTTTTACATGGCGAGTTTTACCCTTTGCTCATGGGAGGGTAATTTCACCTTTGTGGCGAGGCCTAGCGCCTGGAGAGACCTCACCACATACCACGTCATATCAAATTGCCACCATTCTAAACCATGCCTGGCCGAATATTCGAACGCGTGGTGATTGTTATGCCACCCCTCCCCAAATGCCAACAATGCCACCCACCTGTGCAGTAAAAAACCATGTAAAACGCAAAACCATGATGGTTACAAAATTTCTTACCAGTTATTCCTGGAGAGGTCGCCGGTGTTCCACTGTTGACTCCCCCATACGTGGGCCGCCGAATTTACCGCCCAGGTTATATGGTAAACCCACACAATCCGTACCGCCTGTAAAAATACAAAAGTTACCTTGACCAAGCAAGCAGTCCAAGTAACTTACCATGCCCCAGACAACGTACGGCACGCCACCAATGCCGTACAATATCCCGGCTAGAACGACCGGATGGATGGGGTAAGTTCTCTCCAAAAACCGGTAAAACGCGTCGCCCCTCAAATCACCCACATTGCTTGGCTCCCCGACCTTGTGGTAACGTAGTTGAAAAAAAGATTGAAAAGTTTATACTTTTTACCTTGTCTAGGAAAGCCTGGTTATCCAATAGCCATCCCATATGGCTGTGCCAAAACCCTTGGAGTGGAGTGTGTGGATCGCTTGCAGTGTCGCAATGTTGGTGGTGGTAGCGATGGGAGCTCACCCAGGAAATTGGATCCCCCTGCCAAGGTAAAAAACCAAAGTGAAAACCCATTTTTTACTGTGCCATTTACTACCTACTACCTACTACCTACCTGCATGGCCTGAGCTCCGCAATACGCGAATGTGTACTCGAGCCACTTGGGCAGCTTGAAGCTCTTGTGCGAGAGATTCCGGTGGTACGACAGGGTTATTCCGAATAAGCCCGTGGTGACGTACAGCGCCGCGAACGATCCAAATGCGCCCCACGTAAAGGTGAATGGCGCAAGGAGGCAAAATCCATGGACGAGCGCCAGGAATCCCAGGTGGATGCAATCCCGCGAGCCCCATTTCCTCCCCAGAAGGAGATTGCTCGGCCCTGGCGGTCGCGCAATCACGTCCGACAGCCAAATCCTGTGCGAGGGAAGCGAAGAAGGCGAAGAATCCACCTGGGGAGCGCCATCGCTGCCAAGAACACAAGAGATTTGCCCCAATCGGACGAGGTTTCCTCGCGTTTTCGATCTACATTGGAGCGAGAAGCTAGAAACGCCGGGGATGCCAGAGATTTGGCCTGGGATTGGAGGATTGCTGACGAATCTGGATCGGGAGAGTTTGAGCTCTGGATTCCTGGCGCGATGGAGCTGTGGCGGGGGGCGCGAGATTGGAGACGCCCGCAAGCTGAGCACCGCCATAGAAAAAACTCCGTCTCGCGCGCTCTAAGATATTTTGCCAACGTGGCACTCTATCCACGTGGTACAATGTGAGCCACGGTAAGATTGACACGCCGTCCATGTGGCGAAAAGTGATTGCACGAAGGATAGCCACGGGATATGGTATGGTATGGAAGAATTACATGTACAAGGAGAAACAATGTACAACATACTTTTTTAACAGCCTCTCGTGAAACGATCACGATTGTAGCTATCAAAACTGCAAAGAAAGAGTGAAAGTGTTCCTCTCGTGAGCTGCGCAAAGGAAATCAAAGAGTAGCCACAAACCTTTGAACGATTCACGCAGTTGCTCCGTGAACTTCCAGGATTAGATCCTCGAGCTCGGGAAACGCGGCCCCGAGCACCTTTTCCAAGAGGCTATACGCGAGTTGCTTGATGCAGACCTGGGACTGATAAAACAAAGGTCCGATATGGATCTTTCTAAACAAAAACTTGCTTACTTGGAGAAAACTATATATGTCTTTGGCACAGCGCATGTACTGTTTTCTTCCAATCAAACTGACCAGCGCAGTGGGAGCTTGATCTGCCAAATAAAAAGGGAAAAAAGTTGAGCTCTGGACTCAAAACAAGAGAAAAAAACAAAACTCTACGACCTTGCAAAAGCTCTCTTACAACCATCTTGCGACGAGCAGCCTCCAATTCATCTTCAAACGAGAGCTGAGGAGCAGCTTGATTATCGGCTGATAATTGGAATTTCGGGTGCTTGATTAGAAAGATACCATCCGGCCATAGAAGCTGGCAAGAGACAAGAGCGAGACACGATGAGTTCTATTTGGAAAGGACAAGGAACGGATAGTTTACCTGCTGAAGTCTTTTGATTCCACACACAATGACGTCCTCGCTTCTAAGATACTGAATTTGTGTAAGAAGCCAGTCATCGATTGCATCAGCCATTCCCAGCTGTAGCACCTGTTTCGCGATCCACACGATCTGCCGCCTGGCAGCAAACACCATGAAAATCGACACAAGTACAATGACAGGGTACCTGATCCAGCCACGGCCTTCGAGCTGAAAAATTATATCTACAAGATTAAGCAAAGGTACTGTCACCTTGGGAGGATTCCACTGCAACATCGAGGCATCAGCAAAACAAGAAAAATAGAAGAGAAGTGTGGAGATACCTCAGGCTCGTCGATCATCTCGGACCCGGCAAGGGACTCTACAGGGGAATGGCCATCGGAAAAAGAAGCTTCTAGCCGTCTGTTGTGCTGCACATTATGCACTTCACTGTCCGAATGCCAGCCGGATCCATAGCCATCTTCTCCATCATCATCCGAAGGCTGACTATTTGTAGCAGCGTCGCCTACTGCATATGAAGATGGTACTGCAGCAGCATTCCACGTTTGACTTGGCTCGCTCCTTTCAATAAGCGAGCTGCTTTTTCTCGTTCCAGTGGTCCCTAAAACCCCACCAGAGACTCCTTTAATTTGTCGGAACACATCATCCACAGCATCGTCGACATTGACTGGAAAAGGAAAACGTCATCGCCTGAAGAACAAATAAGGATACATACCAGCAAGTGTTTTCATGATCGAGACGGAATCGCCAAACGCATAATTCTGCAGCTCGAAACACACTAAATATAAGTTCGAACAAAAAAGTATGGCATACCCGAGATTTGGCACTAAGAAAATCCCACACTTCATGCAACTCTGCTATGCTTGGAATAGACAGCAAGTCCTACAACAGTAAATTTAAATAAAAGGAAGAACTCTGCGATAAATCTACCAACCTTCAAGTACTTGTTCAGCAAAACACAGCGCTCGCGTACAAACGCGTTATCGAGGTTGGAAGATAAAAACCGTTTCGGTGGTAGGCTCAAAGTGTAATGCGGCATGTCTCGTAAACGACGATGAAGCTGCTCGAAGTTGCGATATCTGTATGAAATGACGTGAGCTAAAGAAAAAGAATCTGTAGCAGACCTTCTCATAACGACCCATGTTTGCTCTTCAACATTCGACACGGAGATAGAATACACAGCGAAAGATTTCGATCCATTTTTTTCATAATGAGCACCAAGTACCTGCAGGCTAAATGATTAAAGAACAGGCCAGCATGTCAAATGCATCCTTACCTTGCAGGATAACTTCGATTTATAGCCTACGGTTCCACCAGGTGCTGGTTTCTTGCTCGCTTCCGAGTACTTCTCCTGATCCACCCCACCTCCACTGCTATGTGATCGTCGATGGCGATGAGTCTTTTGCATGTTTTCTTCGTGACCAGCTTCAGGAACTTCCAAAGGATGATGTATAACCCGTGAAACTGATGCCTCCTTGCTGGCCCCGCTACGCACTCCGATACTGTCCTCGCCAACAACAATAACCTTCGACTGATTCCGAGGCCTCCCGTAGTAGTCGTTATCCACGGTCACTGTCTTATCAAGGAGACTCGAGCCTTCTCTTATGTCTCGGAGTTCGGACATTCCTTCGTCGTTGTCACCAATGATGGGCACTTCTTCCGTCGCTGTGGACTGTTCCAAGCCACCACCTTTAGGCACCGTTTTCTTAGCATCCTTTCTCTTGTAATTCCGACCTTTAGCCCATAAATTGTCCAAGTGTTCAGGAGCAAGAGCTTGAGTTTTTCTCTGGTTAAACACGTCAAGGGCATGCGCCCAGTCTCCTGAACGCGATGGATAGACGTGGTGTGCTGAATGTGTTCCGCTTTTCATTGACTGCGCTGTTAGCGAGGATGTAGAAGTGGAAACCTTTTTGCTGCTCTCTTCGTCTTCAATCTTTCCAACTTCAGACATTTCTACCCCAACGTCTGTCGGAAGCATGCCCGAATCTGTAAATTGAGAAGAATCGGCGCGAATAATTTCGGCTGGCGCTTTGATGCCCTTTGATAGTCGACTACGTTGCGAGACGACTAGCCAGTCAATTACCTCGTTAATTATTCTGCGTAAAGAAGAGAAAGATTCAAATAGAAATTCGATGGAGACACTAAAAAGAATTACCTTGGACATGCTAAGTTCATCACTTGACGCATTACAGCACAAGCCAGCAACTCCCGAGAAAAGCAACGCACTATTTTGCAGTTCGCTTCTTCAGGTCCCAAAACGATTGCAAGGACACCACCCATCAGTCGCTGAAGGACCTGCGAAACCAATTCTTCTGAGCAAACTTAGTTGCAAAAGCGATACACCCACCTGGATTTCCATCTCAACAGAGCTCACGGCCGGGTGAAGTTTCTTTGCTGATGCAAGGCTCTTCTTTATTTTCTCATCCCTCTCTTCGGTAGATAGAGTGCCAAGATAGTCGGCACCAATGGAAGCTTGCAGTTCTCTATAAACTTCAAGATGATTCGCAATAACATCAACAATATCCCTGCACAACAAACAGGAACGTGTCAGCACAAGTCTCAACACAAGCACGTACTTTTTCCGTTGCTTCACCTAGTTAAAAGTGTGATAAGATTTACTTGCTTAACTCTTACTGAAACCTCACCAATGGCCCCATTGATGATGTTTTCGATTTCCTGAGGACATTCTCGGTCAGGAGTGATCATGGCGTACCAGAGGTTGGTCACAAACTCGGCCTGTTAAAAAAGGAAACAAAAGCAAAACCATGTTTTACAATGACAAAAGCATTCGTTTTTCTTAATGCTTACCACAATGCGATGAGTGAATTCTTCGAGAGCAGCTTCCACTGCTGGAGAGTCGATTTGCGATCGCCATTTGGTTGATGGCACCGAGGGAGACGAGATCAAAGGATCATTTGGTGCAAGGCGCTTGCATTGATAGATGACTGGAATAGTTTCCAAACTAGACGGCCTCCACCGGATTATCAGCTCCAGCGAGATTCTCCGAGTCACCGCCAGCAGCACAATCGCGATTGGAATGTTTACTACCACCGAATTGCTCGTCACTGCCACGAGAGAGACTAAAATTAAAAATCTACACCAAACACGGCGAGAAGAGAGAAGGATACTTACACGACATGCAATAGGCAATGGTCAAGACGAAGAGCACGAAGAGCACCGCGCGCCTCTTTGCCTCCTCCAGGAGCCCTTCCAGTGTGCTCGCCGCCGCCGCCGCCGCCGCCTTGGCCATTGCGCAATCCACACATTGCCCGGCGGAGCGCGCGCAGCTCTAGAATCGAATCAGCCGATCGCCGCCGTCGCCGTTCGCCGCTTGAGACTCTACCTGTTCTCCGCTCGGAGCTAGAAGCCCTAATACCATTTTAAAATAATTATTAGATTTATCGAGGCTGGCAGCCACGTCATCACTTGGCATTACACGTCATAGTATATTTACCTTGTGGAGAATGTATAGTACAGGGAACCATTGGAGATGAGAGTTTCATCCCACGGGCTCTTCGATTTTTCGTTGGACTGGGGCGGCGGCGGTGGCGGTGGTGGTGGCGGGGGACTTGGCGGCGCTGGGCTTGGCGGCGGCGGCGTGCTCTATCATTTTGAGGAGATGTTTTTCGGGAGCACTGAAGGATGGCAGCAAGAAATTGCTGTGCTCGAGCTTCTGCCGCCGCTGGTAGGACGTGGGAAGGCTAGTCTCTCGCGCGATTGGATACTCGGCTCTTCGTCTCGCAGCGCGCTCTTTCCATATCCGGCCATCCTGCCAGAAAAAACCACCAAGAACAGCAATCAAACAAAGAGAACCAAAGAAGATCCCCAGAAGCTAGCTAAAACGAGAAAACTCTAAGGAAGAACTACGAGACCTCTGATGATCTATCGATGAACTAAAGCAAAACTCGAAACTTACGTGAACGATGCATGGTTCCGGCGGAGGGCAGCGAACCGGCTTGTCGTTGTCCGGAGGCTCGAGTGGATGCTCCACTGGGGCGAATTCCTCCATCACGCCCAGATCCAGCCTCGCGGCTCCAATCGCATCTTTTAAAGTCACTGCCAGTACAGTGTGTGTCTTTGTTTCCTACAAGATCGCACAAAATACTTGTTGTCAAATAAGCAAGCTACACACGACACAAAGCACAAACGCTTGGCAGCACTACTTACAGTTCCTTGCGGGAAATGGTTGTGGTGGTCCCCTGACACGCCTCGAGCAATGCGTGTGAAAACTCCCACCATTGGACGATCCGGCAGAAAGAGAGCCTGAAAACCTCCAAATCGCCCTTAGATCTAGAGAGAAATCGCCGCAACAGTGGGAGGAAATCCAGCACTGTAGCTCAAAACCTGCGTGGAAAGCACCAGATCTTAAGCGAGGCCACCGAAATTTCGCAATCCAGGCACAGCATTGCCAGAATAAGAGCTATACCTCGGCGAATTCCCAATCTTTGACGCTCGGCCAAGCGCCTATCGGCCGCAGCCGCGCGGAGGAGGAATCGATGGAAGGAAGAAGAAATCGATCGTAGCGCCTATCCACTGCCCTGGAAGAATAGAAAAGAGAAAACACAAGCGCTCAAAAGTGCTCTGTTGTTCTTCCACAAAGAATTACCGAACCTGAGCTTCGGCGGCCCCGAGCCTAGTTGGTAGCCGTTGCTCCGTGTCTGACGCTAAAGCTTTTAACGACGCCGTTAAGTTTTAAGCTAACCGTGGAAGCTTTTCTCCTGTTAAAGGCTAATCATCCATTAGCGCAAAACACAGCGACTTAACCTTTGGTTTTCTATCTTTCCCGCGAGAAGCTTTCATAGCTCGCGATTTCCAGCTTCGTGAGCGCGGGAGAGATGTGATCTCTCGCGTGTTGGAAGTGCCTGTTACACACCACGCTCGCGTTCTCGACGTCTTCTCGCAGAGCAGCGATGGCGGCTTCTCGGCACAGCGATGCCAATTCAGCCCCGGTGAAGCACTCGGTAGCGTTGGCAATCTGTCCGAGGTCGACGTCGGGAGCGAGAGCCATCTTTTTGGTGTGGACGAGCAGGATTTCTAACCTTTCCGAAGCATCTGGAGGTGGAACATAGATCACCTGGAAGACAAAGATGAAACTGTAAGATGAAACAGTGACGAACTGTACCTCTGCTCACTTACACGATCGAAACGCCCCGGCCTTAACAAGGCCGAGTCTATAGCTGACGGTCGATTTGTGGCTCCTACGACGAGGACACCCTGCATAAGCCGGATTTAGTCACAAAGTAGGATACAAAGTAATCCCATGCCTGCAGTGTTTCAAGTCCATCAATCTCTGTCAACACTGTCGATAGTAGTCTTTCGCCAACCGAGTGCCCATCTTTGGAGTTATCTTCTCTGCCAATGTTGAAAATATAAGAAACAAACAAGGAATGAGTGATGGACGGACTTACCGGCTGGACGCGATGGCGTCCACCTCGTCGAAGAAGATCATGCTTGGCTTTGCCACTCGAGCCAAACGAAATGTGTCGCGCAAAAGTGCTTCGCCTTCTCCGACGTACATGGAGTACATTTCGGCTCCACTGTGTTAATGACATTAGAAACAAAAACTCGCTCAACGTTTAAAAACTTGATCCGGACCTTAATGAGAAAAGAGTAGCTTGTGCAGCGTGAGCGACGGCCTTGACAAGTGTAGTCTTCGAGCATCCAGGTGGTCCGTGCAATAGAACTCCACGATCGGCGCGCAGTCCTAGCCTCTGGAAAGCGACGGAATGTTTAATTGGCCACTCCACAGACTGTTGAAGCTTTTTCTGCAAAAGAACAAGAACAGTAAAACCATCAGAAGAAACAAAGGACAAGATAAGAGAGGATGAACCTTCACATCTTGCAAGCCACCAATTTCATCCCACGACACTTTCGGAACGTCTGCTGCAACGCCCCTCACAACACTTGGACCAACTTTCGTCCGAGCACTGTCCCAATCTTTGGAAGTAACAAGCTTCTCGTCTTCTTCGCTGCCATTCTTCAATGATCTCCGGAGAGCTGCCATTGCAGCTTCTCGACACAGAGCTTCCAGGTCGGCGCCCACGTAGCCACTACATCGATCTGCAAGAGCTTCGAGGTCGACACTGCTGTCCATAGGAATGTTTTGCGCGTAAAGCTGTATGAAGGAAAAAAAAAACAAACAAAATCAATGTGGTAAAACCACAGAAGACTTACATTCAAGATTTGAAACCGTTCGCTCGCGTTTGGCGCGTTCACCAGAATTTCCTTATCGAAACGGCCTGGTCTTCGAAGTGATGGATCGACTGCATTCACTCTAACTTATTATCAAATCATAAAACCATCTTGGGAAGGCACGTAATATAGTTCACCTGTTCGTTGCAGCGACGACGAACACTTTAGAGGACTCTTCGCTAGATTTTGCAACACCGTCCATTAGAGTGTTCAGCTGCGCGACCAATCGCGATTCCTGCTCTCGCCTTGCAAGGGAGAAACCGAGAATTAATTGTCACCTTTTTTCTCGCAGACATGGTTACCTTGCATCACGGCGGGGACAAAGAGTATCAATCTCATCAATAAAGATAATCGCTGGAGAGCCATTCTCCGCATGCTTTCCAGCCTCAGAGAAAGCATCCCTGAGAACTCGCTCACTCTCTCCAGCGTAAGCCTTGTGTACGGAACCTGCACTGTAGCGAGAAACTAAGAAAAAAATCCTAGAAAACACTAAGAAAATGTCCACCTGAGTGATATAAGATGAGCGTTACATTCCTCGGCAATAGCACGGACAAGAGTCGTCTGCATTGTCAGATCAATCGACCAGAAAGAAAGAAAAAATGCGAGTGTAACTCATACCTTTCCAGTTCCCGGAGGCCCGTGAAGAAGAAGACCCCTAGACCACTAGAAATTTCACTCAATCAGCTAGATTCCACTGCGGAAACACTACCTTGAGGCCGATCGACGAGGCTTCAGCCGAGAATCTCACGGGCCACACAACGAGCTCGCGCAGTGCTTGCAATGCCGCCGGCAATCCCGCAATCCTCTGCTCGGCATTCTTTGTCGCCATGAACAGCGAAGAACCCTAAAACCCAAAAATGGCAAGGTTTAAAATCGGACGGCCGAGATTGAATGCTACTCTCTTATCTCGTGCCAGGGTTTTTTAGGAGCTCCCTAATCTTTTTCGCAGGCGTCCAGGTATGCGCGCGCTTCTTCTCTCGCGATCGATCAAGATACCTAGATCGATCTTTCCAGCGCCTTGTTGAAATTGCCGCTTCTTTCTTGGCGCCAGATATAATGGCGGGCTTTGGAAAAGGCGATGACGATGTCTTCTTGGATCTTGGTCACCCGGTTGTGAATCGCTCCGTGGAGGCGTTTCTCAAGGCCGGCGCCGTGAGTCTTTGCGAAATCTCCCTTTCTTGGTCGCCTCTGATCATCGATTCTTTGTCAGGTCGGCCTCGTCCACGCGACCTCTCAGATTGCTGCAAGGGAAGCGGCGGATTTCGTGTCTACGAGCTTGAATTCTGGTATCCTTCTCGTATCGCTTCAAATCGATCGATGATTCTTTCCTTTTTGCGTTTCTAGACAAGAAGTCTTCGAAGTGCCCGTTGCAGCTGGAAGAGGCGGTATGATCTATACAAAAGAATACATTATCTTTGGGATGATTCTCATTACTTTCTTTGTTGTTGTTCCTGGTTTAGGCGTTTACCGTCGGGAAGCAAGCTGTGCAGTGGGGTAAGCTCTCTTTTTTTTCTTTTTCTCTTTTGACTATAAACTACTGTGTCTCTGACTTGATAGGCCTGGCCTCTGGAATCTATTCGAGCGCCACGATCAGTTTGAAGGAAGCCCGTGGTGTTCACGACTGGGTACGTATTTTAAGTTTTCCTCCTGGATGTTCATGATTGAAAGATTGATTGATGGATGTTCTCTTTTTCGTGGCATGATCGCTCGAGCGCAGAAGAACGCCATGTTTGGAGGAGCACTGGCTGGAGCCGCCGTGTCCCTGACGGAGCCCAATCCTCGCGCCGAGGCCGTGGTGAGCGGTGCTCTAACGGGAGGGGCGGTTGCAATCGCTGCGGATTTCATCGAGAAGCTCATCTAAGTGATCGATTCTAGAAGCGCTCTCTTGTCAGATAAGCATTTTTTTAGATAAAGTCTGGTTTCTTCGAAGAGTCTATAAGCTTTTCGCTTTGACATGTTTTGCTAACGATATCCGTTTTGTGCAACAATGTGAAAGAATGAACTTTAAAAATTTTTAGGGAATTTTTTTCATCCAGTCTTCTCTATGCCTCCATCACTGATAACAATGGCAACACTAGAGTCAGTGTCACATACCCTGGCCTCTTCTCGGTTTTCGAGCAGCAACTCTAGATCGTGCTGACGAGTTGATTCAGTCATGCACGACAACGAGGTGAGACTTTCTTTCCTGGTGATCTCGTTTGGCATTTGGTGAGTTATCACTGAGTGAAGTTTCAACTTGGCCCATTCCAAGTGTTGGTTAATGCGGGTACTCACTAATACCACATTACAGAGCAATTTCATCAATTACATCCCATCAATGGTACTCATTTAAAGAGGTACTTTTGTAATGTTCAAGTTCACTTTGTTCTACATTTTTTTAATTTCTTTTCTTCTCTATATTTCTCAAATTAACTTTTGCTAGTTATGGTTTTGTTATTTAGAGGCCTAGAACCTGAGCCAAGGCTATGCCACTTTCCATGTGCAAAGAGTACATTTCCTACTCATTCCTTGCTGGACATCCTTTTGTAGTTTATGTTTCCTTTTAGCTATTTCTCCATGATGATGATCAGAAGATTTTGTTTCAAATTGCTATTGCTTTGAGTTGCATTAGAAGATTTTGCTGATCTGCCCTGCAAATGTAGATTTAATAGAGGGCAAGGGTCCCACACAGATGAGTGGGAATAAGTACTAAACTATTTCAGAAAATTAAATATGGCAAGCTGCAAAACAATATAATCAACAACCTGGTCCAAAGATATTGTTTTTGCTAATTTTTGTCACTTTAGCATTATAAATATGACACAATGGCTACTTTTCGCTAAGTTCTCATTGCTTGGCCACCTATGTGTGATTGTTTTAGAAGCTATTATCACCACCTTCAAATAAATATATAACTTGCTTCAGTCACTTGGAAAAAGAAGCTATGTCAAAACTTACCAACATGATTTAAATGATGCAGCTAATGCTTCACAAAAATATGAAGATGATTCAAATGCAAACCCTAAGATGGATAGTGATTTTTAGAAGACAATAGGTTTGTAATGCTATATTATAAATTTTTTAGCTAATGCTCAGGAAAGTTTATTATAAAAAACTAATATGATTGGTATAAAGTTTTCTTGTTTATGTGTTCCTAAAAATTTAATAAAAGTATGAAAGAAAATATAATCTTGATAAATCTGAGTTAGGACTCTTGCAAAATGGTATGGTCTTCTTTGAGTACACTCATATTTTTTTTAATTTTCCTTTTTGTTAACTTCTTTATTGGCATTTTTAATCTTCAAAACAGTCTTCTTTATGATGTAGTAATCACATTCTTTCTTTACATAGCATTTAGTATAAGGTTGGTTTAACATAATTTTAAAAATTGCAAAAGAGATAGTCTTCATATCTTGTACATTTTTTATCTCCAAAGGGATAATTATGTTGTTTTATTAATTTTCTACATTTGTTGAAAAAATATTTCAATGTCTAGAAGATTTTTTTGAGTTTATTGAGCCTTAAATGGTAAGAACTTTTCTTGAGTATCAAGAAATTTTCTTGATTATCAAAACTTTGAGTTTTCATTTACCTCTAACTAAATTGGTTATAATTGCTTCAAGTTTAAAGAAAAGTTATAGAGAAATCTTTGTCATCTTGAACTGAATTAGATTGTTTTTTTTTTTTTGTCAAAATTCATTATAATCTTCAAAATTTCTTTACTTTCTTGTTTCTTTTGTTTCTTTTTTACTTTTCTTGAAATCTCTTACTATCAATCCATTTTATCTTGCAATACCTTTTATTCCACCATAATTGTTAGTAAAAACACTAAGGATAAGTTTAGTATTGCTTAAGTGCTCTAGATCTTAAACATGTGTATATACATTAATGATGGAAGGCTAAGATATAAAAAAGATATAAATAGGGTTTGAGTGTTAATTTGCACTTTTAACTAGTCTTACATAGTGGCAACTGCTATTTCTTCGTATTCTTGAGTTTTAAAGTTTGAATTTCAATACTTTAAATAACTTCTTCAATATATATATATATATATATATATATATATATATATATATACCATGCTAATATTAGTATATAACATTGTAATGACCTCACATTATCCCCTCCTTTTGAAGTGACTATTGGACAAACTAAGATCTAAAGAAATATTAAAAGGAGGCATTAGGGGATTTTGTAAATGTTGCCAATTACTCTTGATCCTTTTGTATAAAGCATTTTAACCACTACACACGCACATACTTTGTATGAAGCATTTTAACCACTACACACGCACATATTAAACAAGTTACAAAATGGCACATATGGTGAGCTCTTGGGACTTATATCTCTTAAAAGTCTTGACAGCTACTCCACCAATATTGTTGAAGAGGGCTCTTTCTCAAGCTCTAGTGAATCCAGTATCCAAAAGGCCGTTAGTGTCAAACTTAGGGATCACATCCTAAGCGAACACTCTCGTGGTCAGTGAACTGGAGTCTAGAACGTACAAAGGTACCTAAACAAGAAACTTTCAGCTTTCCACAGAGTGGATTATACACTTGTGTCTTTCACTGCTGTTCAAGCTCCCATCACCGTTCGCTGAAGCTCCAATTGGTATTGTCTGTAAATTCTCTGAGTCTCGCCGCTTTTAAAGAACTCTTGAAATAAATAAATAAATACAAACCTCTCATACATGAAGATGATCAGCTATGGAAGCCTTGAGTGACGGTGAGACCGATTTCTCTCCCAAGTAAACATCGAAGAGTCTTGATGCAAAGAATCCAGAGACAAACGTAGAGTTTGGAGTCGCAGGAGTTTCGCCATCTGATACTCCAACCTACAAAATCACTCCAAATTTCTTGCGCTGGAACTTACCAAGCAAAAACTTACGTAGAGAGTATCAGGTTGGATCCAAGTGAAGTAGACTGTTGTACCTTTTTTCAGCTTCCGGTTCTGGAAGAGCTTCCCAAATTCGGAAAGGATTTTCTCGCCCTCGGGTGATGATTTTAGCCGAGGCTTGAGTTCGTCATTCAAGGCTGACGAGAAAAGTGCACCACTGACGTCACGCGCAAGCTTGACCACCAGGCCCTTCTCAAATGCTCCTGCAAAAGTTTGAGTGTGCGCTTTCCATGGACAAACAAAAGAATAAAAGGCCAACCTTCGACCAAAAAGTTCTTGTCCCAGTCGTTTGGGAGCTGTTCCTTGTTCGCATAAAATCCCACTGCATAGGCTTTCACAGCAACAAAGGCAATCTTCTTTTCCCTGACTCCTGCGTTCAAGAGCATGGTAAAACTCACAGAAACAAAATCAAACCAAAATATGGAGAGCTCACCGAGGCCGAGAAGAGACAACTCACAAGACGCTCCCGGGAGTTTTTCGAGATTGGAAAATCCAAATCCTGTACTGGGCTCGACTTGTACAGTGGAGCGACCTGGAAGAAGAAAACCACAATAAAAACTTTAGTAGAAAACAAGCAAGCAAGCAACTTACCGGTAGCCGATCTTGGGTAAGACGAGGAAGACTTGAGCTCCTCGGCAAAAGCAGGCCTTGCAAAGAATGGTCGGTAGTAGCGACCCCTGGAAAACGAAGAAGAAGAAGGTAAAGGCGCTCCACCTGTGCTTGAGCTATATGGTGATTTGAGTGGCGGCGACGCGTGGAGGAGCAATCCAGCTCCAGCCAGCACGGAGGAAGCCACCACAAACTTGAGCATTTTCGTAGGGCTAGACTAGAGCCAACTTTCTCATCCTTTTTATTTCAGCTACACCACCAACCAGACAAACAAAACGCAGGATATGCTTACCAGTTATCTAGAGATCGTCTCAAAAGTTCCAACTGATAAACGAAAGCAAACTTCTCGAGAGAAAAAAAAAAGAGAAGATCCATACCAGTTTGTGGAGAGCAAGCACGTCCAGCGAGAGATTGCGAACGGTGGCTTTGCAAAAAATAGCTGATCGAAAAGAAAAAAAAGAGCACAAGTTGAGAAGGAAAAAAACAATTTTTCTTTACCTCTCTATGGAGCTCCACCATAGCCACCACCTCCAGGCGTGAGAATCCTCAGCACCTCCCCAGCCTCCACACGCACAGTGTTCTTCCCTCCAAGGTTGACACACCTCCCATCCTTCCTCAGCACCAAGTTCACCCCGCGAGCTCCATTCCCTCCGCCGCACAACCCCCGCGGAGCATGCACTCTCCTCTCGGACAAAACACTCACCGTCACGCCCCTCCGGAACTCGATCTCACGCACCACTCCATCGCCACCCCGAAACTCTCCACTACCTCCACTCCCCTCCCTCAATCCAAATCCCCGCAGCAGCACCGGATACCGCTGCTCGAAAATCTCGGCGTCGGTCATCCTGGTGTTGGTCATATGACACTGGACGCCGCTGCTTCCACTCCAACCCGGCCCGGCTCCACTTCCACCCGCGATCGTCTCGTAGTATCCAAAGCTCTCGTCTCCAAACGTGAGGTTGTTCATGCATCCTTGCGAGCACGCACACGCCTCGAAGGCCGAGAGAACCACGTCCGTCACCCTCTGCGACGTCAAAACGTTGCCTCCCACCACCGCGGCCTTGTCACTGGGCGATAGAAACGATCCTTTCGGGATGGCGATGGAGACCGGAGCTAGACACCCCTGGTTCAAGGGAATGTCCACGTCCACCAGGCAGCGCAGGCAGTAGATCACCGCGGCGGCGGTCACGGCCTCGGGAGCGTTCCAGTTTCCATAAACTTCCGGACTGGTTCCAGCGAAGTCGAAGCGTGCTTGGCCGAGCTTGGAGTCGATGGTGAGCTCCAGCTTGATCGTGGAGCCGTCGTCCATGTAGTCCTCGGCCTCGAGCACCACCAGCGAGTGATCGTGATCCTCTCTTCGCTTGTGTGAGTGTTTCGCCGCCACGGACTTTAGCATCTCGCGCACCGCGGCCTCGGCGTTGGCCTGGACGTGTCCCATGTACGCTTGCACAACTTCCAGTCCATACTCGTCGATAAGCTCGGCTATGAGCCCGATTCCTCGTTGGTTTGCCGCAACCTGTGCTCGCAAGTCGGAGAGGTTGTCCTCGAGTTTTCTCGTCCCGGGGATGATAGTATCCGTTTCTCCGTCGTCGAGAGTCTTCGCCTTGAGGATCTTGACAATGCCATCTTCCTGAAACACGCCTCCTTCCACCAGCTTGAACGCTTTGATCGCCGCTCCCTCCTCCCGGATCGTCTTCGAGAAAGGTGGCATGCTTCCGGGGGTGATCCCACCGATCTCTGCGTGGTGTCCGCGGCTGGCGACGAAGAAGATGATCTTGCCATCTCGGAAAACCGGGGTGACGACGGTAATGTCTGGAAGATGGCTTCCACCGGCGGCTGGATGGTTTGTGACGAGCACGTCGCCTTCTCGCAAGTTGTCACGCCAGAACTCGAGCTGCCATTGTACCGTGCTGGACATGGCTCCCAGGTGCACGGGTACGTGTGGAGCGTTTGCAACCAGGCCCCCCGTTGGACTGAAGAGAGCGCATGAGAAATCCAGCCTCTCCTTGATGTTTGTGGAGATGGAAGTTCGCTGGAGTGTTCTTCCCATCTGCTCGGCGATTCCCATGAACCTGTTGTTGAAGATGGAGAGCTGGATCACGTCGAGCTTCGTATCAACCTTGGGTGATGGATGATCATCAGAGCTTGCTGCGCTCGTCCCGACCTCTATCTTGATATTTCCATGCTTTGTGATGAAGGCTTTGCTGTTCGGCTCCACGACGATGGTGCTGTTCCCATTCATGACGATGCAAGGCCCTGGCAGCTCGTGACCATAGCCAAGCTTCTCTAGCAAGTATACTCGAGTGTCGTGCCAGCCGGTTCCAAAGTAAACTCTGTGCTTCCTATCCTCCGCTAGAGGATCGCCACTGTCAGCTTTGTCCAGAAGCAAAGGCTTCAAAATGTTGCTCATCCCGGTACCGCGAACTCTTACGTCGCTGATGAGGATCTTCCGGTTGAGCAGCTCGAATCCATACTCCCGACGAAACTCGCGGACGAAGGCCTTTCCAAAGTCCCCGTCCTCGGGCTCGGCGATCATGATGGTCGTGTCGGTGCCTTCGTATCGCAAGTTGAGGAACAAGTCGGTGGAGATATCCTGGTCGCGAAAGTTTTGAGCCTTGAGCTCCCGAGTTACGTGCTGAGCTAAAGCTCGAGCTCGTTTGGACACCTCGGCCATGACTTCCAGTCCGTAAGTAGCAGCGTAAGGCTCCTGTGCGTCTTCCACAACGTCCGCAAGTCCCATGCCATAGGCACTCAAGATCCCGCAGTACCTGTGCACCACAACCTCACGTATTCCCAGAGCTTTGGCGATGGCGCAAGCGTGCTGCGGCCCCGCTCCTCCAAAGCAAGCCAACGCGTGCTGGCTCGTCTCGTATCCTTTCATCTCCGTAAGCTGGCGGATCGGCCGACACATCGCTTCGTTCGCTACGTCGAGAAATCCCAGCGCCACCTGCTCGATGCTCATCTCCACCGAGCTCTCGTCCGCTTGCCGCCGGTACTCGTTCACCTCGTCCGCCAAAGTTTTGAAAGCCACCTTTGCGGCTTCCAGATCGAGCGGCTCGTCCTCGCGAGGCCCAAAGATGGATGGAAAGTAGTCCGGGATCACCCGGCCGAGCACCAAGTTGGCGTCCGTGACCGAAAGTTGGCCACCTTTCCTGTAGCACACAGGTCCCGGATGAGCTCCAACGGACTCGGGGCCAACCTTGAAAACACCAACTTGGAACTTGAGCTTGGAGCCGCCTCCGGCAGCCACGGTGTTGATATCCAACTGTGGAGCTTGGATGATCACTCCGGCGGTCTGTGTCTCCAAAACTTGCTCGTAGTGTCCGGCATATCGGCTCACGTCCGTGGAAGTTCCTCCCATGTCGAAGCCGATCAAGGGCCGGTGAGTCTCCAGTCCGAAAGTAGTTTTCGCGTAGCCGACCACTCCTCCAGCCGGGCCCGAGAGGATGGCCTTGTGCCCCGAGAACCGGCTCTCCGGAGTGAGTCCTCCATCGGACTGCATGAACGAGACGATAACTTTGTCGAGACCATCGTCAAAACCGGAGAGGAATCCAGCCAAGTAGTCCTTGATCACGGGAGTGAGGTACGCGTCCACTGTCGCAGTGTGGCCTCGAGGAACAGCACGAACCATTGGAACCAATGCCGAGGACAGCGAAACTTGCTTGAAACCCATCGACTTGGCCAGCTTCTCCACTTGCTGCTCGTGCCTTGGGAAGATATAGGAGTGTAGAAACACCACCGCCAAGCTCTGGATCCCTTGCTCGAGCAGCCCCTCCAGCGATGGCCTCAGAGCTTCCAGATCCAGAGGCCTGAAAATCTCCACGAGCTCTCCGGAGATCCCTTGCACGACTTCCACTTTCTCGTCGGCTAGAGCATCGTTTTCCAGCGCCAGCCTCACTCGCTCCTCGGCTTCCACCACTTCTTCATACAAAGGTGACGGCTTGGAGGCCGTGAGATCGAAAATACTCGGCCGTGCTTGGTTTCCAATCCGGAGGAGATCTCGAAAGCCTTTGGTGACACACAGCGCAGTTCTTTCTCCCTTCCTCTCGAGCAAAGCGTTTGTAGCCACTGTCGTTCCCATGCGGATCCAGTCGATGTTCTCGGTGGGAATTTTCTCCGACCTGGGGATCTTTTTTCCTGTGAACTCCTCGAGAATTCTCCGGATTCCTTCCCTGGGAGCATCGTCATAGTTGCCCGGATCCACCGAGAGGAGCTTTATCGCCTTGAAACCACACTCACCCGGAACTTCCGCGTAGACGTCGGTGAAAGTTCCACCCCTGTCAATGCAAAACCGGAAGTGTCTCGAGCTCCGGTTTTCGAGGAGAGTGGCGTTTCTTTCGCTGGGATCTTGGTCCATCTCAAATGCGATCACAGTTACCTGTGAAAGAAACAAACACAATGGGTGACGATAGAAAAGAGTGATAAAACACTGGAGAAGAGAATCTAAGCTTCAATGTTGATCTATCAAAAAGGAAAATGGCCTGTGCTGCTCGCTAAACCCTACACAGCTACAGGAATCTCACTGCTCGGAGAGAAAATTTCATACCTGGGTCGATTGGCATCAATCCTCGGCGCCACAAGGAGGGTTCCCGCAACGAGGAGAGAATCCAAGCTTACACCTAGCGATACGAGAGATGCATATGACACTGGTTTAGGAGAATAATTACGTGCTAAAGATGGTCTTAGTTTCAGTCCGTAAGGGCATGGGATCGAATCCCATTCCATAACATAGAATTAATATGTATTTAAATTTAAATTATAAGTTATAATTAATTAGTACACATTGAACGAAAGATTTCATAGAGCTTCTTCTTGCAAATCCAGCAACAAGGGGTGAACATTGGAAGGGAGTCGATCCAGAGGCGAGAATGGATAAAAATCATGATTTTTATATTGATGTTGGTGATTTGAAGTATCATCAAGTTTTTAGCTGTTTTCTCTTATTTCTATAACATTGATTAAGACGACGAATGAATCACTTCCTATCACTCCCTATTTCACTTTTCTTGAAATGAGCAGGATACTTGTTGATGTTCAAATGATCTGCCCCGTGCAATGCTGCTTGTTTAAGGGACACCACAATCACAGTCACATCGTCTCGTCTTTCAAATAAAAGTCTGCCCCATGACGGTTTGTTCCTCAATACTTTCATATCGATACCCACAGCTTTCTCTACCGCTTCCTTGTCATCTTCTTTGATGGCCTTGCTGATCGTCTCACATCTGGTATCGAAATAATCCCTCCACACCCCATCGGAGTTCACTATCAAGAACTCGCAGTCTTTCGAGATGTCAACCTCGACAATATCAGGCGCAGCAGAAACAATCTGTTCCTCCTGAGGAAGCGTGTTGTTCATCTTAAAATGAAGATCTCCTATTGCCCTCGACATGTTGAGCGTACCCGGATCTCCTAAAAGCGAATCTATGGCCACCCTTCCCTGCAATACCTGTCCCCCCGCTCTCCGGATCCTCGCTGATTCCTCCGGCGTAGATGGCCAATGATCGGTGGTTAAGTGGACCAGTTTCTTGTTGCTATACAGGCTGCAGCGACAATCCCCCGCACTCGCGATGAACACCTTCTTTTCAAGCACGAGCGCAACTACTGCACAGGTTCCAGGGCTGGCGTGCACGTAATAAGCGGGATGGTCCTCGGGCCATACCATCTGCACCCCTAGTCCATGCTCCTCAGTGAGAACAATAGCATCGTCGTGCACTGGGGGCTCCTTTGCCAGATTCTGGATCTCTTGCAGCCCAGCTTGGCTCCTCATTAGCCTGTCCATCTGCAGGAACACTTCCTTGAGGCTCTGGGCATACTCGCCTCTTTGGAAACACTCGTTCTGAGTCAAGTACTTGAACATGTGTTTTGCGCAGAACCGAGATGCCGCTGATCCATTATGGCCATCGAACACACCAAAAAGAGATACACTTGGGGTGGCAGCCACTGCATATGTATCCTCTATGTCGCAACCTTCAACTTTCCTCATTCCTTGGCTTGCAAATACGTACGCATGTGTGAGTTTGTCTTCCTTCTCATCCCGCTCAACGCGATACCTCTCTAGCAACCTGACAGAATACTTCATGGAGCGAAATCTGCAGAAGCTGAATTCTCCCTGCTCCCGGAGAACATTTACTACATCCTCGACCCTTAACCCATCAGCTTTACAAGCATCTAGGACTTCTCTGACTCTAACCCTCCCATCAAATAAAGGGAAAGTATACTTGTCTCCAAAGCCGACGGCAAAGGTGACGGCTTCGATTACCTGATACGTCTTCCCAGGAGTAAAGATATCAGTGCTAAGCTCATCGCCTGGTGACTTGCCCATTTCAAGCTTTTTGAGGCTGCCATCATCCTTCCACATTAGAACTCCAGCTCCAAACGCCCTCAGTACCTCGGGGACTTTAACCCGCCTTTCATGCAAAGGAATTCCAAGGGTGCGTGCGCCATTGCTGAAAACTACCTCCATATCCCTAGAGAGAATTCGAGAAACCTTCACTATAAATAGACTGCTATATCCTTAATTTATCGGATGGTTAGCAGAGAGTTTAGGATTATGGAACACATGGAATGAAATTAAAGTATATGCTAGAATATTAAAAAAGAAAAAGAGCTTATAAGGATGAAAGTTGTAAAACTTTATTAGTCCCTGCAATAAATATAAAGAAGAAAACACGCTCACGCTGGGCTCAAAGCTGTCGTAGAGCCTTAGACGTCACAAACTTTTCTTGATCTTTAACGAGATCTTGTCGCACAGCATTCCAAATCGGCTCAACAAGTAGGCATTGAGCTCACTGATCTTCAATCCTCTGGGCGCTGGCGTAGATTCACAGATTGAAGGTGCTCGCTTCTTTTATCTCCATTCTGCGATTGTTCTTGGCTCAGTGGCTTGCGTTCCTCAACCCTCTTGCCTACAGAATGTCACGACTTATATCGCTAATATGTTGTTGGAGAGGGCTCTCGAGCTCTGAGAGAACTCCTGAAATAAATAAATACAAACCTCTGGGAGCCTTGAGTGACGGTGAGACTGCTTTCTCTCCCAAGTAAACATCAAAGAGTCTCGATGCAAAGATGTCAGATACAAACGTAGAGTTTGCAGTGATAGGGATACTCCAACCTGCACATCACTCTAAATTTCTTGCGCTGGAACATACACTTTACGTGGATATCAGGTTGGATCCAAGTAAAGTAGATGGTTGTGCAAGGAGCTTCGGAGAGGATTTGGGTGACAACTGCTTGAGTTCGTCATTCTGACGAGAAGAGTGCCCTTGACCACCAGGCCCTTCTCAAATGCTCCTGCAAAAGTTTTTCCAAAGTCCGGAATCTGGACAAACAAAATAATAGAAGGCCAACCATCGTTCTTGCCCGAGTCGTTTGGGAGTTTTCCTTGTTCACATAAAATCCCACACTGCATAGGCTTTCAAGGCAATCTTTACTCCTGCAACGGCGTACCAAACCCAACTAAATAGAGTTGGAGAGCTTTCCCGAGGCCGAGCAAAACTAATAAAAAAACCAACATCCCCATGTAAAAACACGTGAATTCAGTTGATGCTCTCGGTGGGGATTTTCTCCGACCTGAAGATCTTCAGATCCACCAATAGAAGTTTTATCGCCTTTAAACCAGGAACTTAGGTGAAAGTTCCAGCCCGGTCAATGGAAAACGGAGCTAGGACGTTGGCATTTCACTCTCACTCTCGATCGAGGAGAGTGGCATTTTTTTCGCTGAGATCAGCTAGCTGTGGAAACATACAATGGGTGATGATAGAAAAGAATGATACATGATCGAACGAGAAGAGAATCTAAGCTAAAGAATGGAAAGACATTGGGACATTATAAAGTTTTATATCCTATAGTATTCATTCTCAACCACACATTCCTTATCCCGTTGAACTCCACAATAAAGAGCTTCTCATAGAACTTCTTGCAGATCACTGCTCAAAAGATTGAAAGATGGCAGGAGTTCTAGTAGCAACAAGGTGGCAAGACATCCAAGGCATGAACAATTGGAAGGGAGTGATCGATCCCCTCCACCCGGATTTGCGAGCTGCCGGCATTCGCTATGGTGAGTTTGTAGAGGCAGTGTACGATGCAATCGACATGGAGGTCGAGTCCGAGTTCATATACTACTCCCTTTACGGCAAATCAGATCTCTTCCCCAACGTTGGGGTCACCAGCGATTACAAAATCACTCGCTATCTCTACTCCACTCTCGTCGTCGAAGGCTGGAGGACTGCCTTCGATGGCCTCCACAAGAGATCATCCACGACCTGGATTGGCTACATTGCAGTCTCGAGCGACCAGGAAACCCGAAAACTCGGCCGTAGAGACGTCGCGGTCATCCTCCGCGGGACCAAAGCCTCCGATGAATGGTACGTGAACAGCGAGTTTATGATGAAGGAGCTCAAGCTCCTGGGGCTGGAGAAGCCGCTTCCCAGGGTCGTGGAGGGATTTCTGAGCATGTACACTGCCTCGGACGCTTCCAAGATGTTTGGAGACTCGAGCTTAAGAGACCAGATCTTCAAGGAGGTGAACAAGCTCGTAGAAGTGGATTACAAGGACGAAGACATGAGTATCACTTTTGTGGGTCACAGCATGGGGGCCGGAATGGCACCACTCGCAGCAGCGGACTATGGATTCAACAAGCCGCGAATCGCCGAAGGAAGAACAGTCATGGTGACGGCGTTTGTGTATGGAGCTCCAAAGACCGGCGATGGTGAGTTTAAGAAGCGGGCCGAGGAGTCGTGAAAGATCATCCGGGTTGTGAGCACCGGCGACATCGTCACGCTCATCCCACCGGTATCGTTGACTCCACCGGGGATATACCAGCACGTTGGCGTTGAATGGAGGGTTGACTGGTCATCGTCACCGTACGTCCAGGATCTGGGTTTTGGGATGCGTTGCCACAACTTGGAGCTCTACTTGCATTGCATTGCCGGGCAGAAGAGATCTCCTATCAAGGCTGCTATGAGTGGCAGCTTTATTGCAGCTCCAATGATCCAGGAGTCTAGAAGTTTGGCTTCCATGCTTGAGGTGAAGTCTGAGATTCCGGAATCGTTCATGGAGCTGTTCAAGGACGAGCCCGAGACAGTGCATGAGTTTGTGGGCGAGCACTCTGCAGTTTACAAGACCTCCAGGCTGCTCAAGCAGACTGATCCAGCATCGTCGTCGAGCAGGTCGCGGAAGCGGTCGAGGCGAGATATGGAGAGCTGGATGATGAATGGTGATGAGAATGGAGCAATGAACGAGACGAGATCATCGGCCGGGTTTGAGCTGGTGGTACCACGGGACTACACGTTGATGAACAAATCAGATGACTTGGTGATCAAGGAGCTCAAGATTCCAACATCCTGGTGGGTGCATGGTTTTAAGAACATGAAGAAACTATCGGATGGCAAATGGATTCCTCGCCATATGTGGCCTCCAAGAGAGATTCCAAGTGAAGAAAATCCAGAGTTTAACTAAAAAGTTGTGTAAAATACCAGGAAAAACGAGTGAACAAATAGCTACAATTTCTGTAATCTTGACTTGGAATATCCATTCTAGAAAACAGTGTAACACACTAACAAACAGAGAACACGAAGCATATCACAAGCAAACATCACATATTATAAGAGGAATCTAAGACGTGAGAATTCTGGCAAAAAAAATGTCAATGCTTCTTTCTCGTTTGAACAGCAAGTCTAGCATCGGTAGCAAATGGAGAATCCTGGATTGTCATGGACTATGCCCACACCTCCATGCAAATCTCTTTGCGTTTCAATCTTCCAAGATCTCCAAGTTGGCTGCCGCAACACAAAAACTACTCTACAAACTTGGACACATGCTCGCAGATGTGGTTCACAACGTCTATTGATGGCACCACTCGTCCCCCAGTTTCAGATGAAAAGCTTATGTCTATCAGCAAATGCAAGCTGAAGATTGTGAAAACAGAGGGATCAGCAAATGACCAAATTTATTAGAAGTGGGAAAGGGCTTTATCTCAAGAATAATGTAGGTTAGAGTGATAAGTTTTCAATGCTCACAAACAAGGGGAATTGTGGGATCTTTGGTTGGTGTGAAATTGTGTCCACATGGTATTATTAATAATTAGAATTTTTGTTATTGACTACTATATCTCCCTTATTCGATTTGAGATTGGATATGTATAAAATTGTTTTCAGATAATATTCTATTTTCCAGATGTACATATCTAAATCTTAAAAATGTGGTAAATGTGGTTCAAGTTTCAGAATTGATCTCAATGGTGAAAGAGAGATCAAGTGAAGGTTTTTTGAAAGTATAGAATATCATTCTAGCACATAGATACAAAATGCAAAAAGTAGTATATCTTCAACCAAACATTAATAGATATTAATATTGATATATGAATGTATGGATATAAAAATAGAATATAGAGATATCAATTAGCCCAAAAACCCTATATATAGGAACAAGTGTCTTAAACCAATCTAACGACTATCAAAATTCTATTATGCTAATATTAGTACACCTCACAATGATGAAAGATAATTAGGGTTTTCTAGTGGATGGGCTAAGATCTAGAAGAATATCAAAAGGAGGCATCGGTGAGTTTATATGTAGTGTTAGTTGTTTTTAATCCCTTTGTACAATGTGTTTTAATTGTTGCATATGCATAATTTTTGGAGGATTGGTCTGTTAAATATCATGCCAAACCTTATAAACTTGTAATCTAACTTGCCGTAACACTCACTTTCACTGAGCAAGGAGCCCCTTAGACAAACCATGTACTATAAGATTAAGAAAATGGACTAGCACTAAGTCATTCATATTATACTTCACAGGTGAACAATGATAGGAGTTATAGCACCATTGTTGTCCCATTTGTATGTGGCCTAGGTATTTGGCAGATGCTTGGACTAATGAAAAAATACTTGTCAAATATTGATTATAAATGGTAGTTAATGACAATTGCAAAAGTAAACTCAACTCCGTTGATAGTACCAAATTATGACCATATAAAAGTTTATATAATAAAACACTAATAAAACTCTGCACCCCTATGATATATGCATATTGAAGAGACAATAAATAACCATTACAATCTGAATGCTGAAAATTTAAGTATTTTGCAATCTTTAAAGGTTTGAACAAAATGTTCTACTAAACCATTTGACTGTGGATAATAAACACTCATAAAAGTGTGATGTATCCCTAACTGAAATGTTATGATATGAAATGCCCTAGTTATAAATGCGAGACTATTATCTGAAAAAATTCATTCTAAATAGGAATGTTAGAATACTACTTGATTGAGGAGGAAATATCTAACAACAATTGCAGACGCATTAGTAAGCATTTCAACTTTCACCAAGTGAGTGAAGTAGTCAATAATAATATATTCATTGTCAACAGTTGATTGTGGAAAAGGCCCCATCAAATCAAACACTACCAACTTAAATAAATAGGAAATTGTAATTGATTTCAACCATCCTTTTACAGCACGAGGGGGAGTAATACAAACCCTAAACCAAACATAGTTACGCACATACTAAGTAACATCATATCGCATCTCCAACCAATAGAAAGATCTACGCAACTTCTTAGTCACATGACAATGTCTCATATGCTTGCTTAGAATAAAAGAATCATGGTAAGCGTGGAATAAAAATCAAATACGCCACTAGTCGTAAATGATCATTAAGATCTATCCCCATAAAATAAAGAAAGTCATCCTTAAGGTGATATCAAGAATGTAAATGCTAAAATAACAAGTCATCAACAAGTGACTTAAGATTTTAAAACACATTGCAAAGCCTTTGGATTTATGGCTCAACCTTTGAGCCTTACAAACCTCATCAAAAGAAGGTAAATCTTACTTCACACCTTGTAAACACTCAATATCAAGTATAACAACTGTTGATAACACGGAATTTTCGTCCAAAAAATCTATAGATATTGGAATAATAGGCTAGTCAGAAACATAATAAGAGAGCAAATAAGGACAAAGAGCTTGAGAAAGGGCATCAATATTAGCCATAGAACTTTTAAGTTGATGAACAATATCGAAATCATATATTTAAAGTTTCAAAGCCCATCGAATAGTATAACCCATTAAACTCTTCTACTTTAATAACAAAGTAACTATAACATAATCACCTTTTAATAATGTCTAAGAACTATATAAATAAGCATGAAGTTTTTTGAAACCCCAAACTACTATTAAACACTCATTCTATATTATGGAGTAATTCATCTCTTTTGATTGTAATATATAACTAATGTATGTAATAGGGTGGTATTGACCAGACACACTCAAACTCTTTTGCATCAACACACCTCCAAAATCTATATCAAAAGCATCCATGTGCAAAATAAAAGGTCAAGTGTAGTTAAAATATTTCAAAACTGAAGGAGTTGTCAATAACTCTTTGAGATCCGTAAACACCCACTCATAATCTATAGATCAAATGAAAGACAACTTTGACAACTTTAACAATGCTTGCAATAGTGCAGTATAATCAAAAGGGTGATTAACAAAATAACTGAGATATTGCATTTTGCTTTAAAAACACTATACATCATTTACACACTTTAGAGTAGAGAACTTGAGAATAACCATAACTTGCAAACCTTCACAAGAAATATAGTACCCATGATAAGTGGTGTCTTTAGACCTAAACATGCACTTTGATTGCTTTAGTTTGAAACAAACTTCCCATAGTTAATTCAACATTTTATGAACATCATGGACGTGTTCCTCTTATATCCTCTCTGTGTGGATCAAGATATCATTGCTAATAATTTAGTGACGATCTACAATGTAATGAAGTTGCCGGCACTAATAACACAAGTTCTCTTTTGTCATATCATAAAGAACCTCATCCATTATTCATTAAAAAGTCACTAGAGTATTATCTAAACTAAACCACATCACTAAGAACTCATACAAATTAAATGGTGTATGAAAAGGAATTTTAGGAATATCTTCCTCGATCAATAGCATTTGTCAGTACCTAGAAGTAATATCTAACTTGATGAATTAATAACTTCCCCCTAAATGATTCAAGAGATCAATAGTGTGAGGGAGAGAGTACATATCCGAAATCGTCACTTTATTTAATGAATGATAGTCGATGCAAAAATGAATACTCCTATCAAGCTTTTTCACAAAATGAAATTCACATGCTCAAGGACTCTACAACTTTTGAATAATACATTTTTCCAACATCTCTTTGATATTTGTATGTGAAATTTTAATCTCTTTTAATGACTGATAACAAACATGAACCTTAATTGGATAAGCATCCTAGTTGGAATAAGATGACGTATTGCAATTTTAGCCCCAAACAATAAGTCAAGTTCAAAGAGATCGTCCTTTATGAGTTAGTCAATTGCTGCAACACAAGGACTATCAGAGGGATTGGAAGAGGGAATAGAGGGAGAAGATGAAAACATAAAAGGAAGTAATGAGGAAATAAAAGTGATTGAAGTAAAGGTAAAACCAAAGAGACAAAAAAGAATAAAACTAAAAAGAATGGAAGAAATATAAGGAAACATGAGACAAAGGGGATAAGTTTCAAAGTCACATTTGGCATAATTGTGGCACAATTAATCTATACCAAGGATGAGGCAAAAGTTTGAGTCGACACTAACTGCAATGATTGTAGCTCAAGCTTGAGATTGCCTACACACACAACTAGGTTTGCCTCATCTCGTACACATGTGTGTGTATAGCTGTTGCTATAAAGAATGAAAACTAACTCTGTCACATAACGCAAATATAA